AACGGATAGGGGATGAGCTGGTTCAGCTTTAATCGCCATCCCTGAAAGACTGTCAGGATTTCGACTTAACGGATAGGGGATGAGCTGGTTCAGCTTTAATCGCCATCCCTGAAGGACTTTTTAGGACCAATGACTTACGGATAGGGGATGAGCTGGTTCAGCTTTAATCGCCATCCCTGAAAAACTGAGAGACGTTTTCCTTGTAGCTTACTATTGTTGGACTCACATATCAACCCGGGATGAACCAAGGCAGCTATGACACTCGCGAAGTTTTCGGTTCTTTCTTGCAGTGCGCGCGATATTAAAAACGTAACGAAAAAAAAAGAAGTGCAAGTAAAACGAGGAAACCAAAACAAGCCGGTAATAATACGACAAGTCGGGACACCTCGCTGGTTCCTTCTCCTTGCCCCAGCCATTTTCTACAAACTTCCCTGTACCAATAAAGCGAAGAAATCATAACATCATTCCCCCCGAAGGTCCTGATTATTTTATTAAAATTTTCTTGCAACGGATCCTGGATTGGCTGAGTCATACCCTGCCTAAGGAAACTCGTTACAAAGTAAATGCCAAGAAGAAGAATAAGAAAGAAAACAATGCAATAAGTAAAAAGGGATACTAAACTCTTAAGCTTGTGTTGATTTATTCACCATCCAGAAGGAGTTTTGATAGTGCTTGTCTGTCTGTCTGGGTATCTTGCTTTGAATTTATTTGTGAGATATTTTTATGGTATTTAGAGATCAACGTCTTTTGGCCGAAGGACGGACAGCTTTTTCGACCACTTTCGATATAACATTTTATTTCGAAAAGTCGCTATGTGTGGGCAGCGTTCGAAATGGATGAAAAATCAGGACGAATTGATAGCTATCGGACTAGAAGTGATGGCGGACTCTACATGACAAGGCGTCGGATGCGACCTTGAAGGAGAACAGTTTGAATGCCAAACCAGCTGAAACTTTGAATGGGTTTCGCTCACATCTCAAATTTCTTAGAGCGCCACGCCCCAGTTTTACTTTCTTTTTCTGCATTTCGAAACTTCCCCTTGGCAGGAGTTTTATGACAAAAAAATTTTTTAGTCGTTAGTAAGAAAAATGTGTGCTTTGTCGACGCGTTGCTCGACTTGATCGAGAACTATAAACCCAATCGCAGAAATTGTGATCGAGTTTACTGGATATCGATGCCAAGAAAAATAAAAAATTATTTATTCATCAAATTGGTAAAAATAAAATATTTTAAAGGATTTTTTTGAATTTGCGACATGTGGCTGCTGGGGCTCACTTCACATTCAATCATAAGGTGGCCCCTTGCGAATATTCATATCAAAATTTTGATAAATACATGCGGATGACAGTGGGCGGATCAAGTCTATTTTTAAATTTTGCGTTTGATCATCATTTGTCAGATTTTTACGGCTCTTGGTGAGTATTTATGTCAAAATTTTGATGAATACATGCCGATGACCGTGGGCGCATCAAATATATTTTCAAATTTTGCGTTTCATTATCAAATAAGGACAATACCCCAGATTTTGATCCCAATTTTTTACGGCCTTGAAACAAATAGACATATGAAAAGTCAATGATTTCCAAATCTTTTGCTGATGACATATGGTATATATGTATAAAGGCCATAGGATCTTTGATGATTATTTTCAACTTCCTTACATCTTGTATTTATTACTTACCTTTTGAGCTACTTTTAAGAGACTATCGAAAGTAATATTTCCTGTCTGTTTAACCATATCGTGGAATATATTTGTTTTACTTTCGGTGAGCAATTCGAACGGTGAACCAAATTCAACTACTCGACCGGCATCCATAACCAAAACTTTATCCGAATCCATGACAGTGTGTAGACGGTGAGCTATAGTTAGTACAGTGCAATGTTTGAATTTATTGCGTATGGTAGTTTGTATTAAGGCATCCGTTTGTGGATCGACATTGGCAGTGGCTTCGTCCATAACCAAAATACGATTTTCACGTAATATAGCGCGAGCCAAGCAGACTAATTGCCTCTGGCCAACACTGAAATTAGAACCGCCCTCCGATATTTTACTTTGTAGACCGCTTGGCAATTCGTAGATGACCTCCTTTAATTTAACCTGTTGAAAAGAAAAAGAAAGGAAACTCTTAACTCATGCGTTCATTGTTGCATTTGTAGTTAGTTGTACCTCCTCCAAAGCTTCCCATAGTTTAGCATCCGAATATTCATCAAACGGATCCAAATTGTAGCGCATTGTACCCGAAAACAATACAGGCTCTTGCGGTATAATTGATATTTTGCTTCGTAAATCGTGCAAACCCATGCATTTTGTGTCTCGCTGATCAATAAGTATTGAGCCGTTGTTATAAGATAAACGAAATAAAGCATTAATTAATGACGATTTGCCAGCCCCGGTACGTCCCACTATGCCTATCTTCTCGCAGGATTTTATTTCAAAATTTAACGATTTCAATACAAGTTCCGACTTCGCGTCGGGAAAGTAACGCAAACTCAGATTATCAAACAGAATTCTACCTTGTTCGGGCCATGTTTTTGGTGGTTTTTTATTGGGCGGAGATTCTTGTTCACCTTCAGGCTCCAAATTTTCATATTCTACGACGCGTTCCACAGCCGTCATGGTATTTTCTAATTCAGCTGATTGACGCATGCCCCATTGAACCATACCGGTTAGGCCCATAGCTTGAGTAATAGCCAATCCGACATCGCCACCATTTTTCGGTGAGAATAAGAAAAAACTTAAAGTAATTACAGCGATATATAAAACACAGCAACAATCCAACCAATAACCAAAAGCCCGACTAGTAGCCAAAAACATGAAATAACCGGAGCTATGCACGTCCTGATAGTTATCAAATTCTGCGATCAGAATTTGTTGAGCTCCAAAAGCTCGTATTGTCGATAAGCCATTTAACGAGGCGCCCAAATGTGAGTAAATAGGTGAGCGGGCTACAATGAAATTTTTATTATTTTCACGAATTAATTCATTTTGTGCGAATTAAGATGTTAATTCATTTACCTATTGCTTCTAAACGTTTAATATCCCGCGAAGTATTCAAGTAAAATGATCTTAAAAAGTAAAAAATAACGCTCAATAAAGCGGTAGCTAACAGGTACCAGGGATTGACAAGACAAAGCACAATAACAATACCGAGGAGAGCTAAAAAAATTTGTATAACATCCATTAGAACGCCGGGCAAAACTTCATCGACTTGACCCAGATCCTTTGCAAAACGATTCAATATACGGCCAGTTGGGTTGGTGTTAAAAAAATACATAGCAGCTCTTGTAACGCCTTGGAACATAGCATTATGCAATGATATGGAAGATCTTTTTGCTAAATTAAAGAACAATAAGCTACGAGTTACAGCGAATACCACAATCGAAAAATTTAAAGCGGTAAATATGTAAAGATCCGTGGAATTTGTGTTTTCGATTAAACGTGTACGTCTTAATCGGCTGCTATCAGTCTGTCCATTCTTGTTAACCCTGCATTATAAATAAATTATGAATTTAAACGGAATGAAATCGAAATGAGAAAAATCATATTTATATGTAAAGTCGAGCAAGGCCGACTATATTAAGCATTCTATGCGACGGTATTGGTTCTAAAATGATAAATATTAATAATTTTGTGGAAATTTTTATCGTGTATTTGTTGTAGTTTATGAGCGACGAGTAAAAGACACAGAAATGAGGTTAATTGTTTTTGTCGTATATACGTGTTGGCGCTGTAGGCATGGTTTTTGACTTGCTTGGACTACTTTCAAAATTTTTTGCGTATTTGTAGACGATATCTTCTTTTTTGCGGATGGGAAAATGTGTAGCATAGGTATTACACAGCTTAGCAGGCGGACCGATGGACAGAGGGACAGGTTTAGGTGCATTCCGAATTTGAATTTGACCAAGAATTTATATAATTTGTGGGGTTTTGGAAGCTTGCTTCTGGGCGTTATAAAGACATTGCAAAAAAAATCAAATTTTGACGCACTATGATAACGGGTAGGCGGGGTTAATTTTTCCCATTAATGAAAATTTTATATATCGCACGTAAAGAGATTTTTTCTAATCCTTTATATATGAAACATAGAAGAGCAACGAAAAGCAACGCCATTCTGCAATGCTTAAACGCAAACCTTTTTCAAAAATATATATGAGATAAAGACGAGATTACAGACCAAACTCGAAATGACGCTTAAAGCGGGCTAGGGTTTCCTAATCTGGAAAATTTTTACGCAAAAGTGTATCGAAGATATCGGAAAGCGAATACTTTGAAAGCGATGGAACCCGTGACAACAACTCAAAAGTCTTAGGTTCAAATCTCAAGTGCGACAGATGTTCTAATAAGGTCGATAGCCTTAGATGCTAATATTTCAAGCCCTCGGCTTTAGAATTTATTTCTATGATTAAGTTAATAATAATAATAATAATAATAGTAATAAGAAGGAAATAACTTTCGAGAAAATGGGCAAAATTCTCGCTATTTTTTGATCAAAGCACATAAATGAGATTTTTGTAAACTTATATAATTTGTAATATTTTATATTAAATACGTTATGTATATTATCTTACCAATACGATAGGAAATAATCGCCACCTGAAGCCAAAACTTGAGCACCAATGCAAAAGAAAGCCATTACGGAGAACATACAACAACCACCGCTAGACTCAAAATACTTTTTATAAAGGTTCAGGCCGATTTTACCAATATCTCGACTTTCTTGCACTTGCATGGGTGTGTCGCTGGCCACAGATTCGGCTCCAGAGCTAACTGACGATATACTATTTTGACGATCTCGCATTTTACTATTATGACGGGATAACATTTTTGGCTCCAACATGTCGCCAGCGCTACCATTACTTTCTTCGATATTTTCGCTTTGCAATAACAATTTTGCAAAATCCAAACCACTTTTACGCATTGATTCGAACGTTCCCGTTGCGGTTACACGCCCTTTATCCATCATTACAATTAAATCAGCTTGTTCGAGAAACTGCAATTGATGGGTAACCAACAGTACAATGTCATCCCTTAGAAAACCGCGCATACACTGATCGAATAAATGACGAGCGACATGCGTGTCGACAGCACTTAAAGGATCGTCTAGTAAATAAATATCGGCCTTGCGATAAACAGCTCTGGCCAAACTGATACGAGCTTTTTGGCCACCAGAAAGCGAGGCGCCGCGTTCGCCCACAATTGTCTTATCACCGCAAGCTAATAATTCAAAATCAGGTTCTAGAGCGCATTTTTTGACAACTGTACGATAGCGTTGCCTATCCATTGGTAAACCGAATAAAATATTCTGACGTACCGTACCAGTAAATAGCCAGGGCTCTTGCGAGGCATAAGACAATGATCCATGCACGACAACTGAACCCACTTCAGCGGGCAATTCACCCAAAATCGCTTGTATTAAACTAGAATGGAAATGAAAAACTTACTTCACTATCATAGAGAGAGAGAGGGAAGCAAATTAAAGCTTTTACCTTGATTTTCCTGAACCTACTGGTCCGATAATGGCCACTAAAGTACGCGATTTTATTTTTAAATTAATATTTTCCAAGGTATGCTCGCAAGATTTATGATCCCATTTAGCTTTCAATTTATTGATCACTACACCCGTTTCGATATGATGATGATGATGATGATGATTACCATTACCATTTGTTGCACCTATAGTTATAGGTTTACTTGTACCATTTAAAGTTATCCCTTTGCCATTCTCTCCCGTGACAAGAGATGGCTGCAATTTGTTATTCTCGCTATCCACCTCGTGAGATATATCGCGCACCTTGGTCTTGGTCTCGGCGTGCATCATATATTTTTGAATCCGTTTAATCGAGACCAAAGTTTCAGCAAATTGTGATATACCCATTGGAAAATAAACGGTCATTGTCGTACGCAATATATTATAATAGGCAGTAATAACGAATGCTTTCTCCGCGGTCAATAGTCGACCTAATAGAACGAAACCGACTAAACTCGCAAAAACCGAAATACGTGTTAAAAACATTATAAATGACTGAAGTATGCCACGTATATAGTTCACATAGCGTATCGCATTCATTTCCTTATGTCGAGTGTGTTTGATCATTTTACTGAAAGGTATCTCCCACGCGTACATTTTAATCACTTGTATACCCGATATAATCTCGTTCATAAGGCGAACTCGTTCGTCGGTACGTAAAGCGGTGCGTAAACGTAAAACTGAAGTTTTTTTACCCAAATACGCTTGCAATGGTAAAAAGAGTATCATTATCGCTACACCAAATAATGAAGAGACACCAATCTATTGAAAAATAAATAAAGGAGAATAATAAACATTATTAGGAGAGAGTGTCTTGGTACTGATCTATCTATCGTTTACTTCTCTATACATTAAATAGGTTATGATACCAATTTCGACTGGTCCCAACCACATATAGTGCATATGTATAACGGAGGTATCTAAGCGACCGACATCATTCGATATTAAATTAACTACTTGACCGGATGTTGTATTGCCCAGAGCTGTCTTACTTAGGCGCAATGCCTTACGATATATCATGCTGCACATGGCCACGCGAATTTTCATGCCCACGTGCAGTATGCCTAACATGTAAGGGTGCATTAGAAGGACATTAGCAGCACTGCATACGATTACACCGATCGCATATAAATATGCTGTCATTTGTTTATCATTTCCATTACTGTTGTAGTTGTAGTTGTTATTTCTGTTGTCACGTTTCGCATAATATGAAACTAAACCGCCAAGGAACAACGGCTGAGTTACTCTATTACCGCGTAAATACACGTATAACCAACCAGCCAACCAGCCAAACATCCATCCATCCATCCGTCCATCCATATGCAAAAACAAAAAAAAAAAAAAAAAAGAAAAAAAAGAAGAAAATTGAAATGTAAATGTAAATGTGATTTGCGAGCTTTCAATATCGAGTCAAAGAAAAACAAAAATTAAATTACCGCAAACCAATTTCCAATGTGAAGAGCACAACGCCCAACGCGGCGAAACGTAAGCCAAATACACGCAGTAACGTTTTCAATAGACTGGGTTTCTGGTGTTTCTGTTGCCTTCGAATGCATTCCTCCTCCCAGGCACTGTTCAATTTATAGCCAAGATAATCTGCAATCGCACATTCACGTGCAAACACATGTATTCACATATATATATATATATACGTACAACAGATATTAACAGGAAATTTTTCAAATTGTTACACAAAATTTTTACACATATTTATATAGATATATATATATATATTCACACAAATAGTGAGTGTCGTTGTATGCATGCTTGCGATAAAGATTTATTATGCGCAACATTTGAAACGAATTAAATTTGATAGACAGGCTGTTTGACAATCAGGCAGACAATCATTTTTGTTAAGTGCAAAGCATTTTGCATAAAATGTCTTTAAATACCTTTACAATTTTAGGTATGTGTATGTGTTTGTGTGTTTGTGCTTAAATGCCAGACTAAATGTAATTTAAGGACAACAGCTGTAAATTTTTATGTTTTATGCTTTGTTTATTTATTTATTTATTTTTTTTTTTTATAGTTGGATTTACATTCAAGTTTTAATCAAAGTTGTTGTGGGGAAAAGCTTCTCTACCCACGTATAAATCAATGTATATTTATATATATATATGCAGTAGTTTAGTTGTTGTTATAAAAAACACCGTTAATCGCTAGAGTCATCATACCGTAGCAATATTAATGGCCAGCAATTATAATTTTATGACTTTTTTTTTATATAAAGACAACGACAACAACAACAACAGTAGCTGATATAAATGTAATTGAATTTTAAAAGTCTCTAATGAAGTCTAGTGTCTCCTCTATTGTATTTCACTCAACATTTAAACATCTTGACATAGTATTGGATTATTTGCTATTTGCCAAGTTATTAAAAAGTATTTACTTATTATTGTTCACTGTTTAATATAATGCTAACATCATTATCTGGCTAATAACCACTGAAAAAGGAAAAAAAAAACAATTGTAAAAAACAAATTAAGCTACGGCCCGTCATTAAACAACATACCCTACCAACATTTCGCTTAATACTGTTATTCGTACATAATAGCTTTTCAAAATAACGCATTATAACTTAAGTGGTCGAAAAGTTTTCAATAATGTTCGTGAACTTGGACAAAAACTTGCCTATGTTGGTTGCGTCAAATTTCATAAAAATATCTTATCTGTGGCGTATAGTGTGGACATAAGGATACAGGATGGACAGATGGTTAGATGGACAAACGGAGGGACAGGCAGACAGTCTAGACAGCCTAGAGCGGTTCAGAATTATTTTCTCTTCGGTGCTTCGGTGCATACATCGGCACGGTTTAGTATACCTTCGTACAACAGTGAGTATAGAGTGTAAAAAAAAAAAACAAATAAGAAAACATTGTTAATTTTGGAAGGAATTTTAAGTATTCGTCATCATCTCATCCAAAGACAAATACTTTAACTGTTAACTAAAGTGCGTTGACTGAGGTATATACTAATTGTAAACGTCTGGTTGTTACGAAAGTGTTTGGCAATTTTCCAATTAATATCCTAGACGTGGGTAGAACGGATATTGAAATTTTTTCGTTTGTTTTTAAATCTGGGCCAATCGCTTTAGGGATGTGATCTATCTGCGCAACAAAGACACAGTGAGAAGTGAGAAGCAAACCAGAAAAGAAAGGAATACGGATAGAGTGGGCCGCAGTCTAATGGGTGTCTGCTCAATCGGCAACTGACTGAGCATTGACTGTAGCTACATCAAAAACAAAGTCTACCGGACTTGAGAGTGTTATTATACGAAAAAATTGGGACAAACAGGAAGGATTTTAATAAATTAAGTTTTTCTTTTCACTTGTAGAAGCCACACTTATATGCAACATGAATAAGAAACTGATCTTACATTTATTCTTACTACGCTCGTCAGGCTGAAAGTTCGAAAGTTACAAAAATTTTCTATTTCCTTAACGGCCAACATCCCTGTAACACCGTAAAAAAGGGTTTCATGGACAGTCTTTTTGGGACAGAAGGAAAGAGAAAAGAAGGAATAGAATAGAGCATAATAATAGAAGCATACTTTCAAGTGCTAAAAAAAAATTATTTCAGAAAAATATTAAAAAATGTCAGTATCGAAGCTATTCTCGTGAAATATTTTTAAAGGAGCTCTACAGTCTACGCCTATTTTCATTGAAAATTGAATTTAAAACAAGTAAGAAAACTTTATTCGGTCGTGACCGAATCTTCTATACCCATCACTGTTGTCCTAAAAAAGGCAAAAAAAGTAAAAGAACTAAATTTTCATGCTCTATAATATGGAGTAGGTGCGGCTGATTTTCTTTTTGTTTTCAAAATAAGAGTTTTTGTCGCGTGGGCGTATGGGCGTTGTAGTCGAGTCATTGGAAAAGTCCAAATCACTTCTTACATTTTTTTTATTTGCCACGAATACCACATAGTTTCGCAGGAAGACAGATCGACAGAGGAACAGACAGACATGTTTAGGTGCATTCGAAAAGTAAAACTGAGCAAGAATTTATATACTTTACGGGTTTTTGAAGCTTTTTTGAAGCTTGTAAAGATGTTGCAAAAAAAATGAAATTTTGATACACTACAATATTGGGTGGGTGTGGTCAATTTTTCCTATTTACAGATATTGCAGTATCGCCTATATAATATACGTTCAAAATAGAGGTGTTCTCAATTTACGTGGCACTTTGGGTGGCCCATTTTCAATAGCTTCGTTTCAAGATTGTGTTTACAATAGACATTTCACGGACGGATAGATTCCTTATAGGACTTAACGTCCACACCTGGCATGAAGCCTTAACCAAGTGGGTTGCGTATGATTATCGGCAATTACTCCCCGGGGGGCCCCCGGTGAGTAAGACAATCCCCATTGAAGGGGGCCCCACTACACTGAGGTACCGAATTAGAAAATTTTGTCACTCACTTGTTTGCGGCGAGGCCTATCTACACGCCTCCTAGGTAGCTCTCCATGAAACTTTGGTGCAACCACAGCCACCACGACACTCCCTGAAGGGTCGTACCCAAGCAGTCAGTTAAGAAGGCATTCTCCCAACAGTCAAAAGGGTCCATCTTTCTGCCAGGTGCAAACCTACTTTTGGGCAACCTAACCCCTGTGGACGCGCACAAGTTTTCATGGCTTATCGCTCGTACAGTACTTACACCAAGCTTTACAGGTTTGTGTAATCTCTTACTGTACGCAGCTGTAGCCAGTCTTGCCTTCGGATTCTTCACATGTCCCGGTAGGCCGGGCCACTATCCTTTTTCGAGGAAATAATGCTGCTGAAAAGTTGCCATCGCAAAGCACACAGTGCTCCTTGCGAAAACACGCGGGCGTAAAAAGTTGCGAACTGTAGGTTAAACACAAGAATGCGGATCAAGGGACAAACAAGCCGAAAATCAGTTCTCAGAATAACTTTCTGAATGGATCGGTGCGCCCATTTCTCTGGGGGTTGCCTACATTCGCCTTAATATGCTCTCGCACCTTGTGTAAGGTATAAAAATATTTAAAACAAACTTATGGAAGATCGTTTACGTTGGGTTATTTTATAGACACTGTAAAATATTTCGGCGAAAATTGCAGTTCTTTCGCAGGTCATTTCGAGAAATTATGTTTCGAAAAAAAAAAGCCTTTGAATTTTTGTTATATATTGTTGACATTTTCGTACTTTTTTCTACTTGTCGCAGGACTATGAAAATGTCTTTTCATGTTAAGGTACTGCCCCTCATTCGCTTCCTTCAATCATTTGATTCTCGAAAGTCTTTAGAGGTGTTAGAGAAGTTAGACATCAAAAGATAGAATATGTGGTCGTAACTTATTAACAGGTGCTTATAGTACGCGGGTAACCTCTTCTAGAAAAAGTAAGAAATTTCGAGGAATAAATTTTTTAGGGCTTATGAACTTTTTCTTACATATTCTAGAAGGTTTAAAAACTGTATTAGGCAAAGAAAAACATAACTTCTTTTGGAAAATTTACAGTGACGCTACCCCTTAAATTAAAGCCTTGAAGTTGGGCATTAGTTTAAACAATTGTCTATGAAATGTTGGCTTGAACTATATACGGCATACAATGCACGGTATACAAGATTTCCTAAGGCATGTACGAATTAGTGTTGGATTTAAGGAAATTTGATCCAAACTTTTATTTAAGACAACAGATCAAAAATTTATTCGTACCACATATATATATCGTGTACCATATATATATCGTACGGGATTTACGACGGAGGTAATAAAAGCCACTCTAGATTAATCAATTAGAAATTTTTTTTAAAAAAGTTTTGAGGATTTAAGGCTAATTTCGTGTCTCATTATCATCAAAATTCCTCAAATTTATATACTTTGCGATGGTTTTGACGGGTTTTTGTGTCTGTATGTTCCAGAAAAACGGCCAAAATTAATCAAACTTGAATCTCCTTCTTGAATGTGCGAAAGCATCTCCTTTAGCGGGAAAAATACGGCTACGTTTGCTTCATTAATGTTTTGCGTATTTTGGTCATCAAACCGGAAACTTCATGAAAGAATGGCCAGTTTCGCGGAATTCGTACTAATGTTCAATTCCGGATCAAAGTTTGTAAGAACCTATGCCATTTGGACTGCTCCAACAGTGGATAATCCGCAGAATTTCTTAAGTACACTCAAACCTGTTTTTGTGCGGTCTTTTTTTATGCGCTTTTTTTTTGTGCGATTCTTTTTGTGCGATTCTTTTTTTGTGCGGTATATGAATATCGACACATTGAATTTCGCCGAGAGGTTAGGTCAATCTGAACTGTGTTGGCATCACTTTTTTTGCTATCAGTGTGTATGTACACATTACAACAGCCATTTTCATATCTATTGCATCAGCCCATTTCATTAGGCATGCTCAATGTTCTTATGCATATATTGCATCAGCCAATTTCAGCCTTGTTTAAAATTAGAAATTAAAATTTTTTTAAATGTTTCAATGTGTAATTTAATTATTTATTTTGTTTGGAAAGCACTTTCTTGCTATTTCGTGAAGCTTGGACATATTTTCTAAGTGAGACTTTTTTTATGCGGTCCCTCTCTACCGCATAAAAAAAATTTTCTTTAATATGCTGTGAAAAATTATTTCTTATAGCTATTTATGAAGTTTTTGAATATTTTTTTTTGTGCGTTTTTTTTTCTGCGGTCCCTATCTACCGCACAAAAACAGGTTTGACTGTATGAACATTGCAGATTTACGACCAACAAACTCGGACCCGATCAGCTAGAAATTCAAACTGCTTTCTATTTAATCTTGAAAAAACTCTATCTGGCTTTTTACAATCTTTGACGTGTTGTAGACACGACTGACTAACGTAATTTCAGACAAGTCAAGCTTCGATTCGTTTTGTATCTTTTTACACATACTCTTGCCATTCAATCTCTATGTATACTTTTGTTCAAAGTAATCATCCTTAGTCAATCTGATCATGTCGGTCTGTCCGTCCATCGATTCATCCGTTTCTTATTCCCTTGCTGGTTGGTTTGCAAAAATTAAAGGAAAAAATATATATATGTCTTTATATCTTTTTAGTGGTAGACTCAAATCTAGTTTGAAAAGGGCCGCAATTCACAAGCATTCCTGTGTTTTTTTTTTCAATATGAGCAGTCACTCAGGAGATGTCCGCTGTACGTGTAACACTGTGACTGCAGAAGAAAGTAGGGAAAGAGAGAGATGTAGGGACTGGCCGCAGCGTGGTTGGTAAATGTTACGGGTTCAGCATCTACTATAACTACGACGAAGTATGGTCCACCACGCAGAGATTTGGCCCGACGTACACTAACTTGGTAGACACGGCTTTTGTCTAATCGCCTGTTGCTGGAAGTAAAGAGTACGATTTTGTCATATTTTTGCTTAATTGAAGACTATTAGCACCAAAATTGAAAATGAAATAAAAGTGAGCTACCATAAGCAAAAAGCTGCAATTGTATTCCTGGACAAATACCGACTGCATATAGGCTTTACTTTTACCTATCGTTAATTTGTCAAACAGTGGCTTTTGTATGCGAAAAAGTAAAAAGGAGTATAAGTTAATCAAGTAATATGTACGCAGAATGAAAAGTCGGGCTTTCCGGGCCAAAAAAGTCCAAAACTCGATACTATTTAGCCTTAACAAACAACCGCAGCATCCTTGGCATCTCCATTTAGGAAAATTAGCTAAGTGTGCTATCGCGTACACACTCAGGCCGATTTTAAAAGTGAGGACATTTACGCTCGTATTGTAACAGCTAGCAGCAGGAAACTGTCTCTCCGCCGTGTTCGCCTTAATCCTTCTGGACAATATCTATTTCGATCGAAGATTTATTATCTATCTGATTACTAAAAATTGTTGGTTTGTTTTCCCCGCCTCTTTCGAAGAAAAGAGCTATTAAGAGCCTTGTTCTGACTAACAAGAACACAAAGAGATATCACAAAGCATATTTTCTTTATGGTTTGCGTGACTTAATATCCTCGTTTTATAATAAAGCTGGTATTGGAGAGTTTCATTGGGGTTATTGCTCCGGAATGCCAAACTTGATATAAAGCCACAAAAATTATAATAAGGTGACGTAGTTGCCTCTTATGGGTAGCGACAGACCAAAAGGCCAGAATGCGATCATAAATCGTGGCAAATGATGAGAAATGAAGATGACACAGTAATGGTTAACGTTAAGGAAATAACATCTCATCGGCGAAGTGTAAATAAAAATACCTTGTATCGGATACTTTGGAAAAAGTGCTCCCTTGTTTCTTAGTTTTTTAGTTTCTTAATTTATTTTATCGGACGTGATCTACTTTTTATCACAATCACTCGCCTACCATTTAGGCACGAAGCATATACCGTACCTTTCTTTATGAACTGTCGCTGAAGAGATGTGTGCCCACTTTTTGTTTTTTTCTAACACCACGACTTATTATGATCATGACTTATTTCTACACCAGAACTACTAAGTAAGGACCATGCACTCGGGTTTTTTTAATCACCAGTTATTCGGAAAATGTTTGTTGTACGTATGTGAAGAAAGCCACGGAAAATAAGTAGGAAGAGCGTGGCAGCGGGACGGGGGGACGGAGACATTGGATGTGGCCTCAGTCTAGCAAGGTGGTTACGCCTTTATCAATCGAGCATGCAGTCTACTTGCAGCCGGCCACACGTCAATCCTAGTTAAAGCAAAATGCATCAAGTTGGGTACGCTTATTTAATAACACCGCTTCTTCTCCATTAGGCGTTGCGTTATCTCCAATAACTAATAATAGCATTTATCTTATATCTACTACAAGAAACAAACTCTGTCCGTCTAAAGCCACGGGCTTAGTAGATGCAAAAGCTATAACTCGCAAGTTCCTTTCAAAATGGAAGCGGGATATGTTCCAAGAATTCTGCAAGGCTATCTTGACATTCAGCGCAAAATTGGATCGGAGATAAGCCAAAACAAATTGCAATATAATCCAAAATGTTGTTACATCTATATATTGCAACGTCATCTGAAAGATTGGTGTAAGAAGATACCAGGACTCCACCGACCGTATGCTCCAAATCAGTACACAATTTTTATAAGCTGCTGGGAAGCGATAGAAATCAATGGTAATTGTGGTTTGATGCAGGCGTGTATGACTAGGGCCAGGACTTCAGGATTTCGGTATCTTAAGAATATATGAAGATATTCTCCGATATTTTCGAACTATTTTGAATAGCTTAAGACAAAGAATGGTTACCCGTACCATTGAGTAGCGTGTGTAAAAAAGAGCAGAGGGTGTTGCATAACCATCGGAATCAAATAATAGAAAAGAAAGACTTCCATGCCGTCATTTAGTGTTGAGAGTACACAAAAATAAATATCAGACATGTTAAGCATATATAATTACATGTCAACAAGTGTTGTTATGCATGCATACATATAAGTACATGCGCGCGATACGTAAACAATTAAACACATTCATAGATATATTTTAATTTCATTTTCCCTTTAACGGGCGCGGACGTAACCAATACAGTTTTATGTGTTGCAAATTATCAATTCCTTACTAACTAACAATTTGCCGAATGAATTCACGTGCTTATGATTAATTCAGTTTTATCGAGAATGAATAAAGAAGAAAAAAAAAAAAGAAAAAAAATTATTTTTGGGCAAAAACGTATTATTTGTTTCATTAAAATTATTTATAAAATGGCGTTTCTCAGAATAATTAATTTCTTAATCGTTTACCCAGAATGGATTTATTTGTACATGCATATGTACGTACATATACACACACATGCATACAATGCAATAAATTTTTATTTAAATGTATGAACGAATGTTTTCTTTTTTTTTTTTTTTTGGATCTATTTGCATACGTAAATGCATAAAATAAACTACTTTTTTACATATATATATATATATATATACATGTCTTACCGGATTTGTGCTCTTTTAGCGCCTGATAGAGATCACTTTCGTTTAAGATTTTCTTGCGACCTTTAAAAAATAATGGCATTACGAAACTGCAAAAAAAAGAAAAAGTAATAATCATCAAAGAATGAAATGAAAAGGGAAAGAGAGAGCAAAAGAAAATCAAAATTTTATTCTGAATCGATTTATAATTATTTAATCTCACCAAAAAAAAAAAAAAAAAAAAAAAAACAAGTAAAAACAAGTAAGAAAGTTATATGTGGCTGGAAACGAATCTCGTTTACCCACATACCCATCATTAAAATCTTTAGTGATCCAGACACTGTACTTTTTTATATCTTTGCAGGTACTATAGCAGCGCCCATATACATCTACTCAAAATTTAGTGAGTTTATCTATTGTAATTCACGAGTAATAATCAGAAGATTTGCAGGGGTCCTCTTCGACCAATTTGGCCCACTTTGAATACTAACCTGGGTGCAGAAACCGCCAATGTTTCTATCAAATTTGAGATCGCTATCCTAATTATTCCGACCAGGAGAATGTCAAAACATCACACCACACAGACATACAGACATGCCTTAATTGATTCCGAATTTCACGATGATCAAGAATATATATACCATATTTCTGAAGCTCTCTTTTAGATGTAGCAAACGTTATGACAAAATGAGTATACCCACATCCCTCGTTGGCGGGTATAAAAACAAGTCGCGTTTGTATTTATTATTAATATATACTGGCCGAGTTGAGAGAAATTAGTCACTAGGAACATGTGTAATGAATTAAGAGGCATTATTATAAAATAATTTTCGTTTTAATCAATCGTAATAACCTTCAGTTACTGTTAGATATAATCTGTTTATACATAGAGATAGTAACAGAGTAGAGGATTTATAAATATATAGAAACAGTATCGCAGTAGGGAATTCATAAGTATATGTAGAGAATACCACAGAGGAGGATTCGTAAATATAGAGAGACAGTAACAGAGTAGACGATGAAAAAGTTTTTCATGCTCGTCATTGTGAACAAAGTATTGGACGTTTTCAATTTTTCTAAAGGCCTACCTCGAAGATCCCTTAAAGTATATATACTTCTGAACAAAGTGGTTGGCGTCAAGGATTCATACAAAAATATATAAATTTCCCGCTTTATATATTTCTCTTAACTCATCAACAAACTTGATTTTAGATTCTTTTCTATAAACGTTCCTCAGGTTAAGTTGGCAAATTATGACGAACGTTCCGCCAATCCCTGCATAAAAGCGGATAGTAAGCTTAAAATTGTGAGTTGGTTTACACATTACTTAGGAAGCATTGCAAAAATTGGATTGTAAGTGCTTGCGTTATATAACTTAAAAAAGAAACGTATTTGATGGTCCTATATACCATACGATCTAGATGTCAATATAACATATATCTGGTTAATATTAGCTACAAACAAATAAAAACATTACAGTAGGCCACAATGCACCATTAAACACACTACACCACTCTAATGTTATTCATATTAACAGTTTTTCAAAAGAAAATGCGTCATAAGGATGAGAAGGTGATCCGATCTTCATTTTTAATAGCGTCCATGGTTGGTAGAAAACATGTGAATGTATCAGATTTCAGCAAAGTATTCTAAAAATTGCGACTTGTAGATTGAAAACAAGAAAACCAGACAGACAGGCGGACAGACAAGCTTAGATCGAATCAGAAAGTGATTCTTAATCAATCACCGCAAGTGGCGTAAGGTAGAAAAGATATATGGTGTTTGATGAGATGTTTATATATATGCGGAATATCTTATTTCGTAGACCAGATGCGACGGTAGTCACAAAAAGATATTTTAAGTCTAATTTATTCTTCTTTCAGAAAAAAATTAGGGACCAGACACACCAGTAAATTTGATAAGCGATCGCTAATGCCCTCAAGTAATAAGACAATCGCCATTAAAGATGGACCTATCACTCCTGACGTTCCACATCAGAAAACGGGTGTGACCCGATTTTCTCTAGCTTGGTCAGCGTAGAGAACTATTTCATTGTTCGAATGATCGTATGCCGTAGTTAGGCAAGAAGGCATTTATGGTGGTGGTCTGATGCGTATATCATGGGCAATTCTAATTTGGGCAACCTGATCCCCGTGGACATCCACATATTTCTGACTTACCGTCCTTTAGACTTACACTAGGCTATATAGCTTTGAGTGTTATCTTATTCCGGAAGGTCACCTGGCACACTATGCTTTCTCGACAAAATAATGCTTCCGAGTATGTCATCACGTAGCACATGTCTAACTCTGGCTCTATCCTTTAACATTTCGTATAGAAGAAAATGCTCCTCTTAGAAGCTTCCAAGAGCACCCGTCACCAAATCATAGATAGTAAACCTTAAACCCTTCTTTGCTGTGTAACTGAGCAGATCTAATAAATAAGAGCTTTAAAGTGAAAAGCTATCGTTTACATGGTACACCATGAAAACACTTCTTCGTTTCCCTTTGACGATCAGGCAGAAAGACACACATGCGTACATTATCAATAATCAAGTTCAGTTCTTGCTCTAATCAAGACTTTACATACTACTACATGTTACGTTTCAGCAGCTTTGCGGATGTTGAACGCAAAAGGCCAAATATAGTCGCCATTGAACGGTGAGCAGGTTGACAGTGCTCTCAGCGAAAAAAATTCGCACTAAGCGAACATCTTTCCACGTATGTATACGATACGTATACGTTAACTGGGTTACAACTCAGAAAACTATAAAAGCCTTGAAGAACTTCCAATTAAAATTCGGGCCAAAATCCTCATCCCGCCTAGGCGCACTAAACGGGAAGAGCAATCACCGTATTTATCCGAGGGTAATCTATTCGCTTTGCTTGAGTAATCGAAATAGCAAAAAAGTAGTTTCAATTTTTCCTGAAGGTCTTGAGAATGTTTTCTATTTTGTGTTTAAACATCGCGAAAGGGCTATTTCTCAGGGGCCCTGAAAGTCTCTTATGTAATCGTGACGGATAAATCCACCAAGTCCGTAGAGATTTAAAAATAATTTTCCCCATCCACAGATACTCAATTTAGGCTTTTGGACCATTTCAGAAACGCAATAGCCAATATAGTAATGAGTTTATTTCTGTCATTCCGTAAGTGAACCTGATGCTAGGCGAGCTCTTCATAATCTTCCTATTATGCTGGCAATAGCTACAACAAGCAAAATCCTAACTGTCTTATTTCTGGTTTTTTATTCTGGGATCTGAGCAGTAACTGCACGTTACACTGAGCGGATTGTTCGAATGCTTTGGCGGCGACAATTATCGCTCATCAAATTAACAGGTGAAATCAGCGGGCACATTGGGGTAGATCTATCACTATAGGTACTCAATGGCCTAAGCGAGCCAGTGTTAGGAGAGCTCCCCGTTGTCCTTCAACCTAAGCGAATCTGCCTAAGCGCGCCGTCGTCCTTTATTGTCTTATTTCTGACCTAAGTGAGCCTTTGTTAGCCAAGTTTTTTTTTAGGCCGCTACCATCCTACCGCAATACTCTAAGCAAAATATCTATTAGGAGGTGAGCTTACACCCGTAAAAGATGCAACTACAACGTTAACAGAAAGTCACATAATAATCTAAGTGGAGTGGAGTATCTGTTAGATGAGCTCTTCATAATCACACCCTACCATTCAAGTGAAAGTGACCTGAGATGGCAAATCAGTTTTGATAATATTTTCAAGTGCTTCTAAAGTATAATTCAAAAGCAGTTTGCTTCACAAAAAATTTCCGTACTTACCAGAACATGAGTGAAGATAATGGATTTGCAGTTTCGCGGGGATTTTTTGGCCTTTCCTCTGCTTTGCAAGACTGCATTTTGGCAGTGTAGTTTATATGTATCGTTTCAAATGATATTTAAAATCCCTGTTATCTCTTTATACGGACTTTTTAAACTGTAATATAACATTCATAAGTATTTAATAGCTATTTAAGTGCGACAAACGCAAGCGTTTTAATTTAATAACATTTTTATTAGTAAATCGTGGTTCGAACTTTGTTTCTGTTCTTCTTAGAAAAATTATATCCAAAGCGGCAGTCAGTCACAGCAGCAGTAACATATTCCTTTAAAAAAAATTTCACATGAAATTTTATCAAATTATTATTATTATTATTATTATTATTATTATTTTTTTTTTTTTTTTGTATAAGCAATTTTGTTAACGGTGTTTTGATATGAATCTACATAAATTATAAGAACACGGTTAGGAATTTTTATTTATTTATTTGTTTATTGCTTTTTTTTTTCTATTTTATTTTAAATAACGCTTAAACGATGTTTAATGGACTTTATGTTCTCCAATGAAAAAAAAAAAAAGGAGAAAAAAAAACTTTGCTTCGTCATGCCATGCGGCTAAATTATCAATAAGTTATCGAATTTCACAGTTTTGCTTATATTATCATATTTTCACACTTTATTTGAATTTGAATTTTACTCACATTAACACCACCACTCGATACGTACGGTCAAGTCATAATACTAATCGTAAATTTCATAAAATATTTTTATGAACGTTCACATGGGAAAACCCGCTCTACTAGACCACTAACAACCGTCCATATCCATATTTATAGCGCGCTAGATGTTCTTATTCTTCTCCGTCCGTCAACTATATATAAACAAATGATCAAAACAAACCAAAACGCAAAGTGTTTTCTTATTATATTAACTGCCCCTCTTTGATAATTCTAAACTCTCTTACACTCTCCGACTCTCACATCGATTGAAAAAAGGCAAATGCAGTTTCCTTTTCATTGCAAAAACAAACAAATAAAAAAAAAAAAGAAGCTTTTTCGCTCGTTAATTTCAACTCTCTTTAATTAGAAAATAACAACAGATGCATAACAACATTCAGGTAATATTTTGTTAACCCACGCGCTCTCATTAACAAAAAGCTTCATTTGTAGCACACAACTCTCACAGCAGTTAAGTTAAGCATTGTAAGGAATATTTAAGTTACAGATAATTGAACTTTAACATGTTTAAGTTTTATTTCTGTTTACAGGATCAGGTAATTCAGTTCAAAATATATTAATTGTGGATATGAAATGTGCCGCAAATGTTCAGAATTATTCAGAATAATTGTTCTATCCTACACGACTTTTAGTGCACACTATATTAAGTTGTTGCGAATGCATATGATAGCCGGGAGAGCCTAAAGTAGACCCATGTTTCATTATTTTGATCTGCTCAGACCACTTTCTAAATTCATTTAAGCATATTTGTCCGTCTGTCCGCGTGATCTTTCGCTATGTGCGCTTATTCTGAGCATGTTTGCAGTCAGATTACATTCATTACACGCTGCACCATTTACCATATTAAGCTTGTGTGGGCGTGCGCAATAGCCAGAAGGGCCTCAAGTAGATCCATTCTTTATTATATTTTTTTTACCCAGAATCACTTTCTAAATGGATTTAAGCATGTCAGTCTGTCTGCTCGTCTGATATCTGGCAAAGTATGGTTATTCTGGGAGAGTTTGCAGCCACATTACATTTATCACACCCTACACAACTTATGGTATAGCATATAAAAATTTTGGGCGAATGTATGTGTAGACCCACGTTTTATTATATTGATTTACTCAGAATCATTTTTTAATTTGATTTAAGCATGTTTGTCCGTCTGTCCGTGTGATGTGTGGCGATATACCCTTATTCTAGCCGTGTTTCTAATCGGATTATATTCGCTATCGCATACACCACTCATGTAAAATTTTATGAAATATTTGTGTGAAGACCATGCTGTTGAGAAGAGTGGTTTAAAAGTCGATCTTGGCTTCTTTAAAAGTTTTAAAAATTTATTTTTTAACGACCAGATACGCATAGGCTATTTCATCATATATATGTAATACAGTGACGGCGAGAAGAAGTAACAAAAGAAAAGGTAAGAGAGAGAAAGGATTACAGCCAACTAGCCGCTTTGCCTTTATCGACTGAGCACTCATTATCGCTACACCCGCACAGAAATTTGAACCCGTAAACACTAACATGTTATTTCTTATGTTTAAACCTGGTTGCCATTTACGTTAGTCGTACTGTCGGGTGTTTTCCGCGATTTTTACAGTGAATAAACTCAAAAAAGTATTCTAAAGGCTAATAACAACGAATTGGGCATGTCAAAAACGCGCATCCAAAATTAATATAAAACATATAAGGGATTCTAGCATTAGTAGTTAGCTTGGCTTATTCTAGTCCATCCTCAACTGACAGAAGACCACAAAAGCTAATACTATCTCTTCAAGAGAAAAGGGTTTTAAGCTAACATTTTCTAAAAATAAATTGTCTATAAAAGTTGAATAATGCTTACCTATCTACCCATGGAACATTCGCGACAGGCTAAGAACTGACGTAGTTATATACGTTACCAAGAGTGGACAACTTTTTTAATCCATGGGTTAATTTTAATTTTCATATCATGGCGCGGAACAAACTATTATTAAAAATTCGGTATTCTGCATCAATTTTCTTACTCCTTAAATCGCTCATTTTATGAACTAATGGCCAAAAAAGAAAACATTTAAATATATGTCACTATTGGTAGCTGCGCAGCTGTGCCGGATATGAATGCAGAAACAATTCCTTGGCATCGGTGTTATGTGCGAGAAAATTGAATTATTTGAAATTTTAAATGTAACTCGCCGGACTTGACAATACCACCGGCCACGTGATTTCCCATGCCTATTATATAACAATGGCGATAGGCCTTATTGTGAGAGTAACAAAATAAGCTTTTGCCTTTTCAAATAAATCTCGCCCATTAGGTAAATCCATTCAAGCGAATATAAAACTTCAAAAAAGAGGAAGAATTGGTATTGTGTGTTAATACGTCCGGTGCATCAACACCATCTACACCAGATATTTTGGTGTTTTTTAATCCAATTTTCAACCAATGTGTTCCAATAAACAGCGTATTCACCGCATAAACCTAGGTTCATTAAGCAATTTGGATAAAAGAACTGAATGTGAAACTTTAAATACCAAATACGCACTGCATCAAATGTTGCCATAGATATAGTACAAGCAACAGAGCTTGTTTAAGGGTAGGAAAGTAAGTTGTTTGCAACAATTCCGGATACTTTTTACACAGAGCACATGTTCTATAGCAGAGAAGTAAATAAAAAAAATAAATCTGGAATTTCTTCACTTTTCATGATTTGAATAAATGAATGCTTATTGATGTCTGCTTTTGATCTAAGAATTAGGACCAGTAGCTCTCGGTTTGTTTATACCCATTACTTGTGTACAAGTAAAAAGACTATAGTGGAATACCATCACCATTACCCATCATTCTCATCGCTTGGCTTAATACAGTCATTCATATATCGATTTCTGAAAGTAATATTTTATACGGGTCAGAAAGTCAAACAAGCGGTTCGATGTGAATCATTTTCAATAGCGCTCGTCCTTGGGCTAAAATATGTCGGTATTTCAAGCAATTTCATCAAAGCATCTCAAAAATTGCGATCTGTAGATTCAACGCAAGAAAACATGACAGACAGACGGACGCATAGGCAGACAAGCCCGGTCGATTTCATCAAAATATCTCAAAAATTGTGGCCTATAAGTTGAAAACAAAGTGGAAAGACGGACAGGCACGCTCAGATCAAACCAGAAAGTGATTCTGACTCGATCAGTATAATAAGAGTCAGGTCTATCCCGAGTCCTTCTGGATGTTGCATAAACCCGTATAAGCTTAATATACCATTGTACCGCAAATGATGTCAGTTATAAAGAAAGGTAAGCCATGCGCTTCATACAAAATTCTTATTACAAAAATTAAAGGCAACTAACATTAACTATAATAAAATATTATCTTATTTTTTATATATCATATTATTTTGTATTAATTTCGTATAATCAGCGCTTCAAATAACTTAAATGCATTTATAATATATTTTATTACAAATACACACACTTATGTTTGTGGAAAGACATACCCTCTCAATTGCACAAAACTTGCATTGAATCTTATTAACCTGTGCGTGTGTGTGTGTGTATATACACTTGTGTTCAATTGATAAGAGAACCCCAATTGGAAATTTTAATCATTTTCTCATAGAAAAAAGCATGAAAACTTGAAAGTGAATGAATAGAAAAATAACATCCTTAAATTAAATATTAATGATTTAATTGTTTATGAAAAATCTTTTCAAATTTTTGAAATTAATTAAATCATTGTTAATGTATTTTTACACATAATTTTGGTCACAGGTAGAAGCAAAAAACCAAAAAAAAAAAAAAAAAAAAATTTATTTCCGTTCTATTTAATATTAAATCAAATACACTTACTTCTCTTCTCTCAATTAAAAAATAACGATAATAAACGAATTGTTTAACAAATTAAATTTTTAAATTTGTTAAACTAAACTGCATTTTAACATGTAACAGATGCAAATATTTTTACCCTAATCGTTGTTGTTATCTTTTATTATGCGTTTACACAACATAAACAAAAATTATTAATGCTTCAGAAGCACGCATTATTTAATGCAAATACACATACACACACACACACACACGCACACAAACACGCAAACCTCGAGCTCACTTGCACAAACATGCATGCATATATTTACTGTTTCGTTTGTTCTCTTCATCTTTACATAGCACTGATACTTGGTTTTTTAATAATTTTGTAAACATTATTTAATGAATATTTATGCAAATAAAATGAATTTTTATTCACAGTCATTATTTTATTTAAATTAATTCAATAATTATTTTAATTTTCTTATAGAAAAAAACTGTGCAAAACATTACAATACTAAAGTGCTGAAAACAAAAACCTCGAAAGAAAATTGTGTACTTAATGGTGATGAAAACTCATTGTTTCTCTTAAGCGAAGTGAACGTTTTTTGAAATATCACAAAAACGTATGCTTAACACGACCCTTAGAAGATTATTTTCAAAGAAACTTATTTTAAATTTATTTAAGAAGAAAAAATACCATAGAGCGACACGGCTCACCATTAAATATCCTATGCCAATTTGCTTAATATGTCGTTAATCATATAGCGATCTTTTTAAAATATGGTTTTACGTAAGAAGTAATGGCAGAAGCTATGCGATCTGAGCCATTTCAATGGGGTTCATTTCTGGGCCAAAACATGTCGGTCCGCCGAATTACGTCATAATACCTCAAAAATTTCGATCTATAGGTGGAACATAAGATAACAAGGCAGACAGGCAGACGGTCAGAGAAGCTTTGATTGCGGCAGAAAGTGGTTTCCGATTGATTGATGTACCAAAATCTGCGCCATTTCTCAAGTCCTTCTGAATGTTGCACACATCCATGCAAACTTAATATAGCCTCGTACCACAAATAGCGTAGGATATAAAAGCAATGGAAAGGGAAGGTTTTGAGTTTTTCATTCTACTTAAGGATTCTCACATCCTCCGAGAGGTTCTCTTTATGCAAAGCATTAAAATATCTTTTTGATTGACGAGGAAAGCGGTATGAATTTAGCCAAACCATTATATATTTAACATTTTAATAAAAAAAGCAAATTTCGAAAAACAGTGATTTGATCCAATTTGCAAAAAGGCTAAGAACATTTTCCCACTTTTCGGAAGCTGCAGAGTCAAAGTCATTGAACTTTTCGTTTAAAGCATAAATTTCTATATCTTTGAAAGGAAACACCATGTCAAATTGGTAAAACGGCCATGGAATCACCAGCAATTATCAAAACAACTAAAAATTTTCCCTACTTTCTTCCCACGGGTTGCATTAGGATCTGTTAGTTTAGGATTTCAATCGCTTTCTCTTTTGTATAAAATCCATTAGTCGTTTATAAGTATTGGAAAAACTGCCCCTGGGCTCATTGAAACTGAAATTGATTTCAAAATTGTAGCTTCGAATTTAGGGCCTTAAACTGGAACTTAGACTTTTCTCTTAAAAAATCTCAGTTCAAATAAACTTGGCTAAATTCGACCTAGGATTCAACTTAAATTACCCAACAAAAACTCAACACAAATAAGAAGAAGTATAGATGCGTATAGGTTCTAAATTGCACAGGCAACTGCTTCCAAATCGTATAAAAATTTCCTTGTGTACGTTACGGTACCTGATTGATACAGTCGATAAGAACATCTTTATTCCAACTTACAATAGCATAATTTACATAAGTTAATGCTGAGTTGTGAAAAATTACAAGAGACTTTGTTTCTATTAACGTTTTTATAGAGAGAACAAGCGTTGACATCACTTCTATTAAAGCAACGAAGTGAGAAATCAAAACAAAACCGTGAAAACAAACCTGTGTTGCCAAAATTACAAATTTTCATCTAAATAAGATTTTCGGTAACCTAAGTCCTATTGTTCTAACGTTTAAATGAAATTTAAATTTCTGGGATATTTTCAAGCTACCGTTAGTGAACTTCGAATTCCACAACTTGAGAGA